ATAATAAAAATATAATAATAATAATAATAATAATAATAATAATAATAATAATAATAATAATGGAAACTTTATTAAATGTTTTTCTTTACATACATATACAATCGTAAATCTCTCTCATAAAGGTAACTAACGGTTGGCTATTTGAATCACAATTATACTAAACTAAAATAACAGAACAAAGTGCATGCAATATATATATATATATATATATATATATATATATATATATATATATATATATATATATATATATATATATATATATATATATATATATATATATATATACAATGAGATAAGTCAAATTGTTAGTAAATCCGGATTTTCCCATTCCTTATTTGGGCAGCAAAAAATGTAATATGTAGGCTATAGTTCTAATAGCAATAGTCATCATTTTCCTAACGCAGTACATTTGGTGGTTTTTGTCAAGACTAATACTTTCTAACATGTCTAAAAATGTATAACATTCTTCTGCAAAAATATCTAAAGAGCTTATGGAGAGATTAATAAATTTAACTTGGTTAATTTAAAATTTTTACCTAGCTGTCTCAATAATTCCCTATATTTATCCGTCTTCCGTTTTACTTTGTTTTTGAGGTTTGTCTCATAACCAGTGGTGAGTTCAACCACATATAAGGAACCATTTGAGCACGATAATAACAAATATGGGCGATACGTATCACCAGTAAGTTATTGAAGGGCTTTTGAATCCATTTAGATCCGCGTAGAGAGTAGAACCGTCAACAGTTTGTAAAGTATGAGCAAAAAAGGTGTCTCCACGTAAATCGGTCGAGATAAAACTGACATCCAGCTACTATGTGTAGTAATGTTTCAGGGCTAAGACAAAAAGAACAGTCTGAATTTGAAGATATTGCCCATCTGTTTAGGTTTTTGCGCGTCGGAAGAGAGTTGTTAATGTAACGAATGGTAAAGTTGTAAATGTTTTTCGGGAGCTTTGATTGGGCGATGGACCAAACCTTGTTAAGTTGAGGTAAAGCGAACTTCGTGACGCTACAGAAAAAGGATCCTTGACTGGTTAATTGGTTTAGGAGTTTGTTTTCGTGTCCAGAACGGAAATCTTTGAGAACTTCCTTAGCAGAACTATAAGCGTCATATTGGATATTAGTATGGTTACTGGTTGCTCTCCACAGGTCGTTAGTTGATTCATTGGGAGAAGATTTTAAAGCTTTTCGGAGGACTGTTTGACACTGGATAAATTTTACAGATGGAGGATAAATACTCAGGCCAAATTTGTTATTTGTTAGAAAGACAGTACTTAGTGTTCCTGATATTGGTACTTCAAGCCATCTGCGGATATATTTGTTGGCAATAGAGTCGATATTTTCAGTAACCCATGTTTTAGAGAGTGTTGCGACGGTGAAGTGCCAGGCTAACTTGGACAAGACGTAGCGACTGTAGAGGAGCAGTTTATTTTTGGGGTTTAGTGGCTTTGAGTCAATATCAGACATTAGTTCATTAAGTAGGGTGGTTAGTTCAGTTTTGTGATTATCATTCGACATGTGGAAATCAAAGTAACGTCCTAAATATTGAAATGATTCTCCAATGGTGATTTTTGGTATTAGTTGATTGCTGATGAGGAGTTTTGGCAAGTACTGAACTGATTTCAGTGATCGCTTTTTTAATGCCAAAGGTACTGCATTTGTCAACTCGGATAATCATATCGGACCATTGGCACCAGATAGAAAATCGATTTAATAGATGTTGGTTTTCGGATTCTTGGCCAGTAATTACAGCCGCGTCATCAGCAAACTGGAACCAATGGATGGGATTTAGCAACTTGAAGGAAAACCCAAATTGACGGTACTTTTCAGCCTTGATATGCTGAATGAACGTATTGAAGCACATGTTAAAAAGAAGAGGACTGAGGCAATCTCCTTGCAATACGCCACGGCCAACTGTCATAAAAGGAGTGCGGAATTCAGAGGTAATTATCGAGGTTTGGAAATCAGTATATAAACTTTTTATAACAAATTTTACATAATCATTGGTATGGTGGTAGTCAAGTACGGATTGGATGAGGTTGTGATGGATTTCGCCGAAGGCATTCTTAAGATCAAGTAGGGTGATGACAACAGAGCGTTGTCTGATCCGAGCTTTATTAATAATGTCAGCCATTTGTGCAGTATGTTCTAGAGTGCCAGATAGGTTGGGGGTGAAACCTTTTTGTATGTTGTGTTCGACGAAGTTATTAGATGCGAGGAAGGATTATACTGCGTTTCGGAGACAAGATGTAAATACTTTTAAAGGTATGGATTCGAGTGTTATGGGGCGGAAATTTGAAGGGTCATTATTGTTGCCTTTCTTGTGGATTAGTATGGTACATGCTCTTTTCCACTCAGTTGGGACAGTTCCAGATAGCCAAATATCGTGAATTAGCTCAATAAGGTAAGTCCTCAGATAAGGACAATGCTTGAAACTTATTATAGAAAGTTGATCAAGAGGGCAAGGAGAACCAGACGATTTCATTTTGCGTATAACA